TACTGCTTTTGCTTTCTAGGAGAGAAGGGAAGTGAGTAGGGTTTTATGCCTGTCCCCCTATAGCTGGATGCCTGCCCCACAAGAAGTTTCTCTGCAATCTCTTTCTCTGTCTCCATCTTTCTTGTGAAGAAAGATTTCTGGTGGAGGTTTAGGGAAAAGAGCTTGTGAGTGAAAGTAAATTCCCTTTGTATCTGGAACCCCAACTACCCCAAACTGACATGCTAGCTCACATCGGCCTTGCAGAATTCATGAAAATTTTAGGTGATTTCCTCTTGCCCACTTGTATAGCAGCCACTTTTTTCCCCCTATACTGTGTCCAAGGTGAAGGGGTTCTTGTATTCCATCTCATTTTGGAGAGGCTTTTCTCACTTCTTTGGTTGCTCTACAACTTCAGCTCTCTGGTGGGCTCAAGAGAAGTTATGATTTCGTAGATTATTCAGCCATTTCTCAGTATGATGTTGGGAGTGACATCCTTTGCACATTTATACATTCTAAGCCCATTCCACAAAACTTTAATGAATGCATACTATGTGCCAGGCATTGTTCTAAGTGCTGAGGATACAGAGATAGACCAAGTAGATCTGATCTCATGAAATTTCTATTCGGCTGAAGGGAGGCAGATATATTTACATATTATGGTATCAGGTGGTAATAAGTTCTAGGAAGAACACATAAGCAGATGTGAGAAAAGACAATGATTACTGCCCCCTTCCCTTATGCCTGCCTGTTAGCACAGACTCTACCTATACTTCATTGTACTTTTCTTCTTCTTCTCAGGGATCTTTATGTTGGAGAGTTGAGTAAATATACTCTGCCCTAATTTGATACGGAACTTGGTAAGATTTCAGCTCCAAAATGGTAAATGGGACCATTATCCCCATGAGAAAGGACATGGCTGTGCCTCATGAACATGCCAGGTGTTCTATTTAAGGCCAAACTAGTACCAAAATAAGGAAGAACTTTCAGAGTCCCAGCTGTCTGCAAAATTAAACTACTGTTCCGGAAAGTAATGACCTTCTTTGGAAAAGTTCCAACCTATTCCTGGCAAGCTTTCACCTTCCCTTGATTGAGGGTGTCTAACCAGACAGGTGAGGTGAACATTTCTAGCCCCAAGAAGACTAGTGCCAAAGGCTCTTCTAGGGCTTCCCTGGGGAGCTGCTCTCCTGTGCTGCTCAGCACTGATTCATCTCCAACCGCATTGCACGGACGAGCAAACCAAGCTTTAGATAAATGACTTGAACTAAATCACAGAGCTAAGAAGTAGCTGGCTCAACTGGGCTTGGAGCCAAGGTATTGCATTTGACTCCAAAATCTGTTATCTTTCCCTGCAACACCCAACCTCAGGCGACATTTTCTGGTGGCTCCACATCTGCTATTGTAAAAGACGCACCCTTCTCTAAGTTTAAACCCTTCTAGCTGGGAACGTTAGCAAAAGGGTAGGATGCAGTCCGAGGCGCTGGAAACGTCAAGCTTCTTCTCTTGTCTGTACTCATCGGTTCTGACTGAGCACTTTTTGCCTCTTGGAAACTGCCCTCACTGACCTCAGACCCAAAGTGATACTTTAAAATAACCAATTTTCGGCGGAGAAAGCTTCCCACCCAGGGCAAAAAGAAAAGTTAAGGGACTAGCGAAAACCTGGCGTCTGGACTCGTCCCGTCGGAAACGGCGGGTAGGCCCCTTCCCTTGAGTTTCCTCTGCCATTTGGAGTGACCGGTTCTAAAGCACTCACGACGAGGAGGTGAGAAGACTTTGGCCAAGGAAGCAGTCCGTTAGTCGACATGGCAATCAACCAGCCGAAACAGTGGCGGTTCTGAAGGCCGTGCGCATGGGAGCAAGCCCCGACCGCGATCCGGCTTGTCACCCACTGCCCGGCGCGAAGAGCAGGCGATCACCAGGAAAAGGCGCGAGAGCCTCCTACGCACGCTCGAGCGGTGCCGGGGGTGGGGCTTGAGTGGGCGGGGCCAGCGACGCCGCTAGGCGAGGGCTCCAGAAAGCGGCGCGTGCGCTCCGGTGGTGGGCGGGGCCTGGGGCGGGGCCTTGCCGTCACGCGCGGCCCTGCCCCCTTGGGCCGTCGTCTAGCTCCCGGAGGCGGCAACCGCTCCTGCTCGGCCCTGCCCGGTTAGCGGGGCCAGCTGCTCCTGGGTTCTCTGGTGACCATGGGGGACCCCAACAAGCAGGACATCCTGACCATCTTCAGGCGCCTCCGCTCGGTGCCCACCAACAAGGTAACGGCCGCGGGGCGTGTTCAGGTTTGCTTGCATCCCTGCCGGACCCCGCGGGCGGCCGCGGGAGGAGGAGCCGGTCAGGCCTGTGACACGTCGCACTTGCGGCGGTGGCAGCTGGGCCTCTCCTGGGTCCAGACCGCGCGCGGTCCCTTAGTATCAATCAACAAGGGAAGGGCAGGGAAGGGGTGCACACCTAGGGCCACCTGGTGGGGCCGGCAGCTGGGAGTTCTGGGGGCGGGAGACGGGAGCATGTGGCGGGTCCTGGGGGTGGCAGACACTTGGGGGTTGCTGACATCTGGCCGGGGAGCATACACTGGGGCGGGACGGCTTTTGGGGGTGGCCGAGTGGTCACTGAGTTTCTGAGAGAGCTAGGGGCGAGCTCGGAGCCGGGAGAGAGGGCTCGGAAAGGTACCCGGGGGGTTCTGCGACTCGGGGCAGACACCTCAGCGCTCCTATGACCCAGCTGGGAAGCATGCTCCGGGTCAGAACTCCAGCTGGTAGCGCGGGGCGTTTAGGAAAGGTCAGCTGGCCCCCTCCCCACCTTCGAACTTACCTCTGAAGTTCCTCAGGGGCGCCTGTTGGAGCCTGATCGGTTCCCTGTGGCCTTTGAGGGCAGCTTCAGTGTCCCTGTCTGATAAAGTTTCCAGGTGGTCCGTGCCGTGCCGTGGCTTCCAGCTCT